GACCTGAACCGCGAAATAATAAAGTGTAGCAGGTTTCAGACGGTAGAGAAATAAGAACCTTCACTGATGTTGTGAATGAGGATTCATCTAATATTTTTATAGCTTATTCGGTATAGATTGTCTACGTGCATACAAAAACTCTCAGTCTGCGGCGGAGGATAGCTGCAAATAGCGTCAATATCAATTGTTTGTCATTGGAATTAAATTTTGTGCAAATATGTGAGCTGCAAAAGTAAATTGTATTAAATTTAAATGAAAGGAGTAATAAGTCCTTTTGCATGTTTCTTTTGTATTTTACTTCGACGCTTTAGTAGATAATTGAGCTGACTGGTTTGGGAGTGGTTGCGAAATTTCCCTTGCAGCTTTACTTGCTTACTTGTTTACCCTAAAATAGGGCGATTCAAGCAGCTGTCAGTTGAAGCAAGTGTTCGGTTTTAAATATCATTAATAAATATTCAAAACTAACATCTGAGCCTCGATGCTGTGGTAGAATACAATCATTTCGAAAAACCATGGGTCAGTATACTTCGATGCAGTCATTTTCGACTCTGAATAGCAATTTGGCCACCGTTTGTTTGGAAAATTCCGTAACATACGATCTACGAAACTAATGTGCTCCCTGAATCAGCATTTTCATCATTGAATAGCATGGTTTTTTAATTGTAGAGGGAGGTTAGCGGGGGTCGGTGCGTGTTAATGTAGTGTTAATACATTACACTATTTACGCCACAACAGTAGCCATATATAGCCGATACTAACTCAACTCCATGTAAAATCCCATAAGACGATTTTCAAATCTCCTGAAGGTCATCTGCCTCGCTCTCTAGCGGTGACTTTGAAAACTAAATAGAGGTCACAAAGGTTAATGACCTTAATTACGAAGGTTAACGAACCTATGCATTGAAAATCAAGTAAATATCATACGATTCAATGTGGAGAGGTTAACGGACCCTACAACGTTGAACGGTGGGGTGGAGGGTGAATCATTGATCTCCGGACTTTGGAGGGGAGTAGCGATTATAAATTTCCGACATTCAGGTGTATTGAATAATAGTAATCATGGCATGGATAGCGTATGCTGAACAGGCATGGACCAAAGCAAGCGACTTTGTAACGGCAGTTGAACGCCTCAGGCAACTCTTCTCAGCGTTAGTATTTGACGCTGAACATGAATCCGTGTACGGGAACGGGGAATACAGTGTAGAAGAGTGTCTGGCCATCGCTAACAAGTATGAGTTAGGTGAAAAGATTTGTGACAGTTATTTAAACTTTAAAATATGTGAGAGATGTGTTATACGCAGATTGAAGGACGCTCAGTTGGAGCAATTTAGTAATGAACTAAGTGAGTGGATAAATCCTCCTGACAATGAAGAAGACGGTTGCAATTGATGAATCACTGAATTGTGTGTATAAGATGCTAACGTGGTCGTTTGCTTACCGTGAAGCGCGAAAAGGACCATGGGAAACCGCAGCGCTCGATAGATTTCGTTTCCGGAGTAAAATCGAACAAATTAGTCGAGTTCTGTCTCCTGTATTAGAGCAGAGTCATCGTGATAAAGTTTATCATAACAGACTCTCCCCTCCATAATTTTAGCGATATAAGTGAGACTGTAGTAGTGCTTGAAATCATTCCAAAAGTGTACGCGAAGTAGTTAAAATGGATCTTGATGCGCTAAACAATACGACTTTCTGTAAACCGTTCAAAAACGTGAAGGACATGGAGGAGGGCGAGAAATACAGAATCGTAAGCATAGATACAATAAACACAAAGTTTGGTGACCGGATAGTGGTGGAGACTGCAAATTTCAAATGTGTTCTACCCTTGCGTTTCTACAACTACTTTAAAGAGGACAATCGTCTTGGAACATTCAGAGCCTCTATAGCCAATAAGGATATATACATAGCGAGTGCTGGATCTGCTGGGCAAACGACTAATTTAAAGTTTATGTAAATATAGAAATTGTGTAAATAAGGAAGTCTAAAAATAAACATAATATACGAAATAGTTTTTCATTTCATAATAAAGTATGCACTTCATCATGAAATACCTCAGTTTCGTCATAGTCGTCTAGGTGTGTGGTTCTTATGAAATCAGTGAACATGGATACCAAAAATAGCTTCAATAATAACTACTTTACGTGTTCGTGTTGGTGTTGTAATCGCAACGGAGATGATGATGATGATGATACTCCCTCGCCTCCCCACATTGAAAATATACATAATAAAGTGATCGAAGAACGTTTAATCGATTGTACTTCGTACGATCTCCTCGATGGTCAGTTCGCTGAAGTAGGTTACAGTACACACCTTAACCTTACACCAGTTCTACGAATCGCTTGCTCCTCCGACGATGCTATAGTGATGGTGAAGGAGGATTGGGAAACGCTTCTAAGGTGGCAAACATACCTTGAAATGAAATTTCTTCGATCGCATGAAATTGAAGGTCGTATTAATTGGTCTAATGTTAAAGAAGAGGAAGATATCGAATATGAGGAAAGTTCTGAATCACTTACTAACAATATTACAATTTTTTATAATTGGCAATCGGTGAAGGATGCTGAGAGAATGTTAAAGAGTGTGACAATTCGACGCGGGAACCATTCCTGCACAATGAACAAGAACGACATTGAAGAGTTTTTCAACCTAAAAGATATTATCAATTATCGACTAGAATTATTGGAATCTTACGCGCTGCCCTCTTTCTATCAAAACATCATTGAAGAGGTGAATAACTATCGACACTTTCGGAAAATGGAATTTGGTGACGATGGGGACAACGATGACATCTATCGCGATATTGAGAATGTGTTAAATTATAAGTACAATGTAAATTCTCATAATACAGTTTGCATGATGGAAATCCTACACTATCGACCTACTTATTTAATGTATCACATATATCGACCTCAGTAAACGTTATTACTTTATTTGAGCATTTTCTTTTGATGGATGGTTTTCTATAAATATCGCAACCAATTGCTACACGTCAACAATGTTGAATCGGAAGCGGAAGTGTACGGGTGGGAGTGGCTTGGTTAATACTCTCATAAACAAACTTCCAGTTGAGCTACATATTCCAGGCTATCAGTATTGCGGACCTGGCACTAAATTAGATAAAAGGTTAAAGCGAGGCGATCCCGGAATAAACCCGCTAGACGCTCAGTGCAAAGAGCACGACATTAGCTATAGGGATAACCAAGACTTGGAAAGACGACATCAAGCAGATCGCGTTTTAGAGCGGAAAGCTTGGGAACGGTTAAAAGCTTCCAACGCAAAGTTAGGTGAACGAGCTGCCGCTCTTACAGTAGGCACCATTATGAAAGTGAAACGAAAGTTGGGGATGGGAGTTAAGGGGAAGAAGAGCAGTTTATTGAACTTGCGTAGGAAGATTGCTAAGAAAATGAGGAAAAGCGGCAATACTGTGGATATAATAAAGTCAGCTGTTACGGCAGCAAATATGGCAGTAAAAAGTTTAGGTGGTAGGAAAAATGTAAGCGTGCCTAGAGTAATTCCCATACCAAAACAGGGAGGGTTTTTACCATTCCTGATACCCCTATTTGCTGGTCTGTCAGCAGTTGGAGCTTTAGCCGGCGGTGCTGCAGGCATTGCTAAAGCAGTTAATGCATCCCGTGACGCTCGTAAAATGCTAGATGAAACATCACGCCATAATCGCACGATGGAATCGATCGCTATAGGAAATAAAAGTGGCGGTGCGCTGTACTTGAAACCTTACAAATCGGGAGGCAGTTTAGCCTTGCATTTACGAAAAAAAAAAACTTCAAAAATTGCCCAAGCGGCCGTTGACAGATGTAGATCTACGTAAGCATGCAAGAGGGTGTGTACCATACTTTAGGGATGTGTTTATGCGAGATAGTATGCCTATATCGCCATGGAAAAATGAATCCGGTGTTATTAATTTAGATAACCAACGAGGGCGTGGCACTCATTGGGTGTCTTATAAAAAACGTGGTGAACGAGTGTGGTACTATGATAGTTTCGGTAATATTCCACCACCACGAGAAGTGATTGAGTATTTCCGCGACTGTAAAATTTATTATAATTACGGGCAAGAGCAACAATTTGGAACAACGAATTGCGGTCATCTGTGCTTAAAATTTCTGTATAAATAACACGCATTTTATCTCGGTACCTGTAGTCATAATGTCGACAACCTTCAGCATAGAGGGCGTTGGAAATACAGCCAGTCATGATTTTTATCCACCCATAGAACTTCCATCCGAGAAATTGTACGTAATAGGGGTGGTCGGTTTCTATGGCTGTAACAGTATTAGAAATATTCACGCGGGAAACGATAAATTCTATATTAGGAGAGGTGATAATTCCCACGGAATAGGAATTCCTCACGGTGCATACGAGTTGGAAGAGCTAAGCGCGTATATAAAAGCTCGCATTCCAAATCGCTTTAGTTTACGTACAAATAACAATACGCTCAAGTGCGAACTTAGCTGCGACTTTGATATAGATTTTACTCCAAGAGACTGCATAGGACGCATGATCGGTTTCGAATCGAAGATATTGGAAGCGAACGTTCTACATACATCTGCTTTAGATATACAAATCATTAAACATACCAACATTCACATAGAGTGCAATCTTATCCTATCCTATCGCAACGGAAATCCCGCTAAAGTACTTTATGAAATAGACGTTTCTGTTCCACCGGGTTACCGCTTAGATAAAATTCCCAGTAATACTCAATATTTGCAAGTAAATACCAGTAGAATTAGCAATATAACTATAAAGCTGACAAATCAAAAGGGTGAACCAATTGATTTCGGTGCAAGTGAGCCTTTTACAGTACGATTAGAGTTAAAAGAATATGGGGTTACGTATTAATCAAGGTCCACTGCCATCTTTCCTCAATACTATAAATAACCGAGGTAACCGGAAATCGACTTATTCTCAATCGGGACAGGGCCCGGGCACATTAACGCCTGCAGAAAAATATTTCTTGGAATCCATTGGTCTAAAAGTGCAAAATGGCGGCGGCTGCAGACTCGTTAAACGTCTTTCAAAACGCACGTTTTGATGAGACCATAATCAAGTCCGATATTCACACCTATCTCCCATACGGAGGATCTTCGAATTTTGGGCTTTCCAGTGAAATCCGTATATTAATTCAAAATCAAGAACTGATAACCGCCACGTACGATAGCTTCTTGTACATAGAAGGAAAAATTGAATGGAGTCAGTCACAAGAAGAGGGTGCCATTGCAAAAACATGCAACCTAACAAATAATTTCGCTCCATTCCTTTTCGAGGAAATTCGCTACGAGTTGGGAGGACAAAAAGTAGATGTGTGTAGGAATCCTGGAATTACATCCTCTCTGAAAGGATACATATCGTATACGTCTACTGAAAGCAAAGGAATGCAGCATTTGGGATGGTCACCCACAAACGAATCCGTTCAAGTAGATTACAACAAAAGCAACAAAGAAAAACATTTCGCTGTCTGTATACCGCTAAAACATTTATTCGGAAGCATGGAGGATTATCGTCAAGTTATTGTAAACATGCGACAAGAATTGGTGCTAATTCGAGCTAGAAGCGATACCGATTGTTACATGGGAACCGCCAACGATGCAGTAATATCGTTAACCAAAATTCAATGGAAAGTTCCGCACGTGACAGTTAGCGACAGTGCCAAAATCGGTCTATACGAACGGATTAATAAGGGTGCAACAATTACAATACCTTTTCGACAGTGGGAACTGTACGAATTACCCGCACTGAAACAGGCACAGTCGGATATATGGCCAATCAAGACCTCAACTCAATTAGAAAAACCGCGATGGGCAATTGTGGCATTTCAACGTAGCGGGAAGAAGTTTTCGCATGAGACAAGAGCGGGCGACTTCGATAACGTCAAAATTCGAAACCTAAAATTGCATCTCAACTCTGAAAGTTATCCGTACGAAGCGATGCATTTAGATTTTAATGCAAATAAGTACATAACGGCATATCAAAACTATGTAAACTTTCGACGAGATTATTATGCCAAGGATGAGCAAGACGCTCTGTTTGACTATTTGTATTTTAAAAGTTGTCCAATCTTTGTGCTAGACTGTTCAAAACAAAACGAATCTCTGAAGCATTCAACGGTAGATGTTAAGCTGGAAATGGGAGTCGATGGAGGCCTTCGAGGCGGGAACTGTTGCTTATTGTCTGATCCTGCACGATGCACTAGTTCAATACAATCCTTTGACTGGAGAAGTGAAAAAACTATAAGTTGTATTTTTTTTAATGTATAAATAAAATGTATTGACGAAAATGTTCCTAGTTTTATTTCAACCGTCTAAAATGAAGGTTGTGACGCAGAAGCATAAGCTGTCCATTCAAAATCTGGATACCTTTATAACGACAAATGTAGAGGGCAAAAAAACATGGCGAGTTACTTCCAAATAGCGTAAGATGCTTAATCTGCGGGCCGTCTAATTGTGGTAAAACAAATACGATGCTCAGTCTGTTAACTGAGCCCAATGGTCTACGCTTCAAACACGTGTACGTCTATTCCAAATCATTGAATCAAGAGAAATATAAACTTTTGGGGGAAATTCTGCAGCCGATGAAGGATATTGGCTTCTTCACATTTAGCGAGAATTCCGACATTATGGAACCAAATGCTGCCAAACCTAATTCAATTTTTATCTTTGACGATATCGCTTGTGAAAAACAGGATAACATTAGAGCGTACTTTTCCATGGGTAGACATAACGCTATCGATTGTTTCTACTTGGGTCAGACGTATTCTAAAATTCCTAAACAATTGATTAGAGATAATGCTAACTTAATTGTCCTATTCGAGCAGGACGACTTGAATTTGCGACACATTTATGAAGATCACGTCGCTCCCATTATACCTATGCCTCTGTTCCGAGAGATGTGCTCGGAAAGTTGGCGAACTCCGTATGGCTTTATGGTGATCAATAAGGATGCAGATGTGCGAAACGGTCGCTTCAGGAAAGGTTTCGATCACTATATAATACCATGAGAACGTGTTTATTGTTCAGTTGGAAATAAACGGCTATCAAGTCAACAGCTTCCAAAAATAAACAGCTTATCAAGAAATAGGTCCCCTGTTCCCTCTGTTTATCTGTTACCTGTTCCCTTGATCGCATCATGGATAATAAGGAGATGACCTTGAAAAGACGAATAGTTCAGGCTCGTAAAGCGATACAACAAAAGTACAATCGTCTCAAAGCGGATCGTTCTATTAGAGAACTGGAATTTGTACGAACGTATAAACCACTAATTCAACCGCTATCCCAGATCGTAAAGAAAATCGAACCACTGCCATCGGTGGTAACGAAAAAGGAGGAGCCAGAGGATGAAGTATTTACATCACCTTCCAAACGTTTATCACCCGCAAAAAGAAAGTCGCCACCACACCGTTCAACGCCTGCGATACCTTATTACTCGCGAGCGAGACGAAGGCCCTCTTCACTTACCGAGATTAGTCCTCTGGCTAGACTTCCCTACTTCCAAAAATATCCACCAACCGATATTAGCCCAATGGTTAGACCTTTTCGCCCCACGGCTACACCATCATTGAGACAGCCCCCATCATTTCTACAGAGTACAGTGATAGGAGAGCATCAACCAGAGGAAGAAGAAGAAGTGTCCTCTATCGCATCATCATCTGCTTCATTACTCGATATGCAAGGTTCGCAAGCTTTTTTGGAACAATACAACCACCTACCTCGTATATACGTCGAGCGCATGATAAGAAATACGAGTAATGCAATTGACACAACCTTTGGAATTCATTATAATGTTGAGACTGATAAGTGGACAATGGGCAACACACCGGTGATGATTAATGGTGACGATTTAATGATTAATGGCGTTCGATATAAGGGTACAGCAGGTCTATACGAACTTATCATTATGAATGAGCCGGATGAATCGCTAGTATCCAATCAGGATAGAAGTAACTATAAGCAGATAATAATAGCAACTCATGTCGCACGGCGCAATTACGATCCCACCGAGCAGATTCGTGGCAATAAGAGCAAAAAGTATACGCTCATAATAAAGCCTCTATTAAAGGAGGAGGAAGATGCGAAGAGGGGGCGTACGAAATCCGGAAGCGGTATTACTCTATTCAAGGAAGTCGATCGACCGATCGAATACAAATACTGGAATAGCGTACATGAATTGATTCGTGATTTAGAGGTTTTATGGGGTGAAAAAATGGCCGGCAACACTGATGTAAAAAATGACATAATATCAATCGTGGAAGAGATGTACGAGGAGGGTTACATACAAAAGCCCACGCAGCGATTTTTACGTCAACTAGTATAAATACCCCTTTTCAGTCTTTTTGGTTACATTCACCATGGATAAATTCGGACGTTCGCATACCCATGCTCAATTTGGAAAACTGCTAAAGACAAAATTTTCCATTACTGACGATACGATAAATGTGGAAAATAAGAGACTAAGTAATGTTGCGGATCCTATTGAACGACATGATGCCCTAACCTTACAACACTACCTATCAACAAGACTAAATCTCAACGAAAACCGGTTAATGAATGTAGGCGAACCAATAGACGACGGCGATGCCATAAATAAGGGATTTTTCACATATTATATGCAGATTGCGAAAGCACCTGTAGACGGTCTTCGCAATTACGTGGAGGTACTAGAGGAAGAGCTGAAAGCGGTCAAAGAAACATTGCATAAAGTAATAAAGGATGCAGCAGGTGGTAAATGAGCTACATAAAGCTGCGCGCAAAAACTTTCCACGTAGACGTACCGTTATTAAAGGGTATGATGATCTTTGGCAAGCAGATTTGGCCGAATTCATACCCTACGCTAAACAGAATAAAGGCTACAAATACATACTGGTAGTTATCGATTGCTTCTCAAAATATTTGTGGACAAGAGGATTGAAGACCAAAACGGGCGAGGAGTTAACAAAAGCCATGCAAGATATTTTCAAAACTACCAGGCGTAGACCGCAAAATCTACAGACCGATGCTGGGAAGGAATTCTATAACAAATCATTCGCCAAATTGATGACGGAAGAACGCATTAATCACTACTCCACGTACAGTACAAAAAAGGCTGCCATAGCCGAAAGAACAATTAGGACGATCAAAAATTATTTATACAGACAGTTTAGTCTCCGTGGAAAGTATGTATGGATTGATGCAATCGAATTGATCACAAATGGATACAATAATCGTAAACATCGAACAACGGGGATGAAGCCGATCGAAGTAAAGGTCGACACGCAGCTGAATGTCTACAACCACATCAAGCTTTTCAACAAAAGATATCGATTTAATGTTGGCGATGTAGTTCGAATTAGCAAGTTTAAATCTATATTTGCTAAAGGCTACACATCCAACTGGTCTAGTGAACTATTCAAAATTGTAAAAGTACAAATAACCAACCCTGTGACATATTTGTTGGAAGACATGAACGGGAAACCTATACTTGGAGGATTCTACGAGCAGGAACTCCAAAGCGCAAAATATTCCGACGTATACTTGGTAGAAAAGGTACTACGACGGAAGAAAGATAAAGTGTATGTCAAATGGTGGGGATTAGACGAAAGATCTTGGATTGATAAGAATAACATTGTGTTGTGAGCTTATTGGTTGTAAAATAAAAAAGTCAATAAAAACATTTAGTCTTTTATTTACCATACAACATATTTTTTTACAGGTTTTTTTTTCCTATCACTATCATCTGTACTCATTATTTTTAAAAGTAACTCATACGTCTTCTTATAATCCATTAATTGGGTGGATGGCCAGATTGCAGAATCTGGCCCACAAGTCCAGCCAAGAATTGCGTTTGAATCACCTTCTCCTTTTTGTATATTTCCCATTATCCATCGGTAAATTTGTTTATGACGAGTATCTTCATAAGGGTTAAATTTGCATTCGATACTTTTCTCTATACATATATCGATAAACATTTCTAGAGCATTGACATTAGCGTACTGTGCAGATTCACATATACTTTCGTTTATCACACAAATAATATTTCTATGAACAGCCTTTGAATTAAGTAAATTGGTTATATAGATTTTGATATTTAATGGTAAGCTATCTACTATTTGATTGCCACTAATTTTTGATGAACTTATAACAGAGTCAACTAACTTATCTAGTTCAAGCTTCCTATCTACAAGTAATCTAATACTGTCTGGACTTATATTTCTAAAAGTAGCACACCAACTGAAACATTCGTCCGGTAAGACCAGGTTCTGTAAAAAATTAAAAAAAAATTAAAGCATAATTTTGCACGGACGGAATTTCCAAAAGAGCTCGTTTCAAGAATTTTTTATAAACTGGAACAGAAGTGTAATGTAATTCATGCTCCAACTGAATTTTCAAATTTTCATGGTTCATGATGTGGCGGATGTATTCTGAAATGTAAAAAAGGGGCTGTGAGACATTGTCAATGACATTTGAATCCCCAAGGACGGGTATCAATGTTATTAGCACAGATAACACGTTTGTCATCGTGAGGACTCAATACTACTTTCTCCTGCTTCAACGTAAATACTGTATGTTTTTTTGAACGAATAAGATGCTGACTTCGTTTTATAATTAGAACGTTAAACAAAGCGTTCTTGTAATCATTTAGAGTAATTTCTCTGATGCTAGTCGATGTCGAGCCTTTAGATTTTTTGGTCAGTTTTCCCTCTACTTCATAAGCGTACATCTTAGCACGAAGTCCTACGAATTCGGTCATAATGTGTCCATGATTTTCATCTTTCATTAGACCGGGGATTTTTTTATTGACTAATGGAATCCCATATTCATTATTGATATCATAATTTGAGGTATCAAATCGATGTATATCATCTTTTATATTCTCGTATATATTGGGAACTGTAAAATAGTATATTAGGCTATCGGTATCTGTATACAGAAGTTTTGTTTTATCTTTAAACTGTTTGAGAATGTAGTTATAATGAAAGTCATAGAGAAACGTTTTTGATATATCTAAAACGGCAAATCCCGCGTATATTGGTTTATTGAAAAATATCTCTAACCTATCCATCTCTATTATAACCATATCCTTATCAAAAATGGTACAACTGCTAAAGTTTGGCTTCGCTATATACGCACGGGCTCCATACCTTCCCTCCCATTTGGTTAATAGTTTCACATCTTTGTATTTTCGCACGTTCTCCATAAGTTTACCATAGACGCAATTAATCATTAATTTGTAAAATTCTATTTCAAACATATTTTTCGCTTGTTGCCTCATGCGAGTGTTTAATTCAATATACTTTTTCAGCCACGGTGATTGCTTAAACTGTAATACTCTATTTATTTTTATCAACTTTAACCCATGTTGTACGTACATCTTTAAATTTCTATAATGAACTACGTAGTTGTGCTTTGGGTACAAGGTAAGCATTAGTTTCTTTAATTTTGAGTTATTTGGCACTAGATGCTCTGGGGCCAAAGGTAAATCAGAATGTAATCTGTGGCATTCCAAAGGATACTCTAAATCACAGTCTACAATATAACCAACGTCTGAATCATCAGGATGGTTTAGAATATCTAAATTTTGAATGTCATCTACAAAGGAAAAATCGCTGCAAGGCAAGAATTCACACATTGAGGCACCATAAAGGTTATTAATATCATAATACATTAAATAGGTCGTCTCCAGGTTAGGATTATATTTTTCTTTCATGTACGGGTTATTGGCCTTCGCGTATCTCATTGAACATTGTGCTACACCTCCTCTTATACCACTTTCAATAAACATCATTTGATCAATGTCACTTAAAAGTTCTAATTTAACGTCGGTGACTTTAAGCATTGCGTCAAATGCCAAACCCGGGGCGGTGTAATAATGTAACGGATCTAAGCGATAGGTACGCAAACAAGTCTCCCTAAAATTTTCAAAGATATCCGCCAAAAGGAGAACGTCCGTCATCAAATAGAGATCAGAATATTGACCTAAGGTTTTAATTTCGAACGCGTTCCAAATGTGATTCGCATGTTCATAGTCCGCTTCGCTCACAGCTTCATTTTTTAATTGACTAAAAAATGCATCTCGAGTTGGTAACACTGTCTCATTTAATTTCTCCCACGAATCAACGTAATCATATGGAAACACTCCCTTTCGAGTTAACAAATGGAATTCATTTGCATTACGACAATGCGCTCTAGTAATAGTTTTCTGCTCATTATCTAAATACGAAGATAGCTTATCTATACTACTGCTCATAAATCTAAAGGAATCGATAAATCGAAAATCTATGTTAGTGTTCTGCACATGCTTCGTGAAAGAAATATATTTTTCTTTGTTTAAAGGTAAGAGTTTAATTCCGCCAGGAAAGCCGATAGCGAGTTCTCGAATAAAAAAATGGGCATCGTATCCGCTTAAGTTATGGAAAACGACTGGTATAACATGGGAGTGGTTAAAGTTCAAATTACATGCCTGGTGAGCCGCCCCTCTGTACCGCCCCGTCATATGATGGTGATCGCGTACTTTAATTTGATCTTCGGTAAAAGGTTTCTCGCAAATGTGACACACTATAGCGTTCAAATAGTTTTGCATCTGATGAGGACTAAGAACTTCCATGGGAACAATAGTATTCACAATTTCATTTGCCCAATCGGCAATCTCGCGCAATCGTTTAATAAACCATTGAATACAATCAGGTCCTCTGTATGAAAACAATTTCGAAAGCGACTCATCATACGAACACTTAAGGTAAAAGGCAATACTAAAGGGAGTATGCTTTTGGTAAAATGTTGTGTTAGCATTTGGAAGATTGACTTTATCACATTTTTCCAAGATGCACTCAAGGTCTGAATAAATAGTAAATGCCACCTTCTCCATGTTAGAATAATGTGTGAATTTTAGAATCCTTTCCGAGTCATTAGGCAGTCGAATGGAGCACTTATTGACTTGATGACATTTAAGCGTATGCTTTTCTAATAAATCACTCGTTGAAAAGTGGTTCAGACAAATATTGCAGAAGAATTTCTTATGTCCTCTACGAGATAGTTGGGAAGATAACAACGCTGACATATTTTTAATCCATGCAAAATGATAGTAACAGTTATTGGTATTGAGGACTTTATTCCTTTGATCAGAAACCAACACCAATAAATTGATAGTTTTTCTATTATCAACTTTACCACTTAACATAAAAGGAAATATATTTCTCTTAACTATGCAATATAAGTTAATGGAGATATCATTCATGTTCTCAAATTTTTTAATATCTGTTAGTTTAATGGGGAATTTGATAGATCCACGATTTAATACTTGGTCAAAATGAGGATAACTACTTACTCTATCGGCATTTTTATTAACGGGATGCAATGCTGCGACTATTGACCACAGAAAACAAAACTGATCATTATTCTTTACGTTAATAACTGCTCTCTTAGCGGCTATAAAAGGAGGAACTTTGACGTATGTTGAAAACCCTCCCTTAATGGGTACGTACTGATTAATATTGATTTTCAGATTTACTATATCCGATAAGGCCCACCCAGAGTTCTTTTCGGAGAAATTCTCCAACTTTGTTTGAATTTTATCGAAAACGTTTTCATTGTACCATTCCCTAAGATTAGTACCGATGTCAATCGGAGCATTTTTGGTCTGGAATGTTTTCAAGTCTATAATGCTAGTTTGAGGATGAATAAAATTGCAAGTTAAAATGACGTTTACTTTTAACATGGATCTTGCTAACGCTATCTTAATTTGGCGTAAAAAACTATCGTACGCATGATTTAGAAAAATTAGGGGATCCTTATAACCAAAATTAACAATAACACCAGTAATTAAACGGCCATTGAAGCAGGAGTCTAATGTGTACCACGCTAGTTTACGTGATCGACTTTTATTGATGACATCGATCCCACAACCCCTTTTTTTCGTGGAAAAATTCTTTAATCGCTCTTGTAACGTAGCCAAATAGCTTTTCAAGAGCGCCAAATTAGATTCAAGTCTCGAAGAATTTTCATTCGGATTATTGAAATGAACTTGATTGACAATAGCTCTTTGCAATATTCGAATGTTGGTTTTCGCGATTGAAATGTGTTTAACAATTTCAGATTTCTTTTTTAAGAGATTTGCCGAATGTCGGGTTAGGTTAACGATCTCACTGCTTATACTCGAAACAGATTCCATACTTACTATGCTGATCAAAGGGTTTTAATTATCCAAGATTTTAATCTGTGTAAATCCTAGAAATGTTGCACTCATAAGTTATCCGACACTAGTGCGATTAGCTGACCACGATCCTAGATGTCACAACTGAGATACTGCTCGAATGATACTGTATACGTAAGTGAACCTGAGAACAGGAACAAATTCTCTTTATAAGGTGTATTGCAAATGTTATTGCAGGTGAATGCTCCACTTTTTCTGTTACTTAGAATTTTCTTATCGGCAGGTGTGCGCTTTGACCGCCAACCTGCCTGAGAAAAAGTCTACGTTCCCACGAGAGTTTATGATAACGTTAACATTTTCTCGTAAGTGTAAACCTGAGAACAGAAACGGATTCCCTTTCATAAAAAGATGGAAAGGTTACTTCAGGTGCATGCCCTACTGTTACTTAGAATTTTCTCATCGGCAGATGTGGACTTTGACTGTCAACCCGTCTGAGCAAAGTTTACGTTCCCGCGGGAGAGTTTATGCTAACGTTAACAAAATATTCTCGGTATATACCCGTACATGTCTTACATGAATCAGTTTAGAGTTCGATGCAAATCGCTATCATGTCGGCGGCAAAACGTGTAAAATTATCTACGAAAAAGAGTGCACCAAAAGCGAGTGGTAGTTCTTCAACAACGACAGTACCGAAAAATACAAAAACTGCCGAAAAACCTCTTCCGCAAGAAGCTATCATTAATTTAGTGGACGAGGATGGTCCAACTGAGAGGTAAATATGATTTTTGTGCAATTATTTCATGAAGATACTAAAATGAACTTTTATTTTTTAGAATAACAACAACAACGACTCATCTAAGAAACAGCGCGTTTAATACCTTGGATGAGTTGCTGGATCAGTTGGATGGAAACATCCACCACGTGTACGCTCCCCAAAGGTAAAACATTCGCAATACCAAAATAACATGAAATTAATATTTTTTTTCCTTTTAGAGTGGACAACAACATAAAAGGCACCGTCAATAACATGCAGTAAGTTAAAAGCGCACCGAAGTATTTTTTTATACCTTTAATTTATATTTGCAGACATTATCAAACCACCACCAGCCTACAGCCGGCTCAAACAGCACCGCAATCGACAAGTTACCAGTTACAGTAAGTTGCATTGAAGAAGAGTAATTAACCTAACTTTGTCAAAATAACATGAAATTAATATTTTTTTCCTTTTAGAGTGGACAACAACATAAAAGGTACCATCAATAACATGCAGTAAGTTAAAAGCGCACCGAAGAAACTTTTAATACCTTTAACTTATATTTGCAGACATTATCAAACCACCACCAGCCTACAGCCTGCTCAAACAGCACCGCAATCGACAAGTTACCAGTTACAGTAAGTTGCATTAAAGAAGTGTAATTAACCTAACTTTAATATTTATTTCAGTATTCCAGAGGGGACCGCCCGTGTGCTACAACATATTATAATACCACCGCCACCACCACCGGCAGAGCCGCAGTAAGTTGCATTCTCTTAAAAGAAAAACGACTTCTATGAATTTATTTTGCTTTCAGACTACAAGGAGCACAACAACAACAGACGAGTACCGTCGGTCAATCTCAGTAAGTTATTTTGAAAGTGTAATGAAAAGAAAGTTCTAACATTCCTATTCTCTTTGTTACAGGCATGCACAAAAGGACATGAAGCTTCTGAGGGAGGTGTTCGAACAAAGCTTCTATGAGACGATCTCCCAGCCTCCTTCAGAAACTGGAGAAATAATTCCACCGATCCAACTTCCAACAGCCGTCGTTCCCTCATGGATTGAACCTGCAACACCCCGTGAATTGGCGAAGGCGTCGCTTGCATGGTTGCAACAGAAGGCTCCTGAATACATGCAGCGGTACGAAGACGCGCAAAAGGCAACGAGGAGGCTGGAAGAGGAGCTCGATGCAGCGCGCCTCACCGAACGACGGCTGGGCGAAGAAATGACTTATATGAACAAATTTATTAATTTTTTGAAATAACAAATTGTAAATAATAAATGTAGTTTAGATGGATAATTTTATTTAAAATGGTAAAACGAGCAACCCATAACTTCCCTCCTTGAGTATTAACTATGAGAGTAAATAGTTCCATTTAACGTTAATCGTATAGAAAGAAGCGTAAAGCGTACTTCCACAATCTCTGGACCTGGAGCATAGTAAAACGAGCAACTCATAATTCGTCTGAATATGAGAGTTCGATTTTACCAGTACATAATATCGTAAGTTTATTAGTGATCGCATAGAGAAAGTCTGCTAACTTCCACGATCTTGCATATGTTGAGAATGATAAAACGAGCAACTCAATTCGTTTGGGTATGAGAGTTCGATTTACCAGTTCATAATACGTAGGTGATCGCATAGAAAGAAGTGTAACTTCCACGATCTTTGCATAAATGTGAAGAATGAGAGTAGCTGGGGAACACGGCGGATCTTAATGAGATTGACTTAATACATTCTCTAATAAGGTACCGACCGTATACTTTTAATACACCGCGCTTTTACGGTCGCCCGCGCTAAACATCATTCCCTATAATAGACGAGTATGTTTCAGGGGAACTCGGCGGCTTACAGCGATAGACCGTGGTACATTGTCTCATTAGAAGCCGCTCTCGCATTGTGATATCATTCGCTTTCGCTGTATGGAAAACCACCGCAATAAATCCCGCTGAATTTACTTACGGCATCAGAGCAATTTTTTTAAAGTTTTTAAACAAAATATTGTTTAACATTGTGCTTTACTTAAAGTAGGTACCACTTTTCTGAATAAATGTACAATTAAGTTCGTGTACCTTATCAAAATTTCTTATAATACGACAAAATATACTTTTACTAGGATTACGTTTTAAAGATGTAACTCGTTAATGAAAATTAAGTACCTACTCTAATATTCCCAATATAAAGGTGAAAAGAAGATTGAGAATACATTCTTATAGGCGGAGATAAAATGTCTATTTTTACATAGTACCTACATTTATGATAATAAGGTCAAAAAGTGCACAATAACATCTGGAACGATTCGTTTAAATTCGTTAATTCCATTGAGTGTAGGGACGGCTTTTTCCTTCCCCTAAATTACAAAGGGCTTCAAAAATTATCCACCGTGCATTAACCATTATGCCTTTCCATTAATAAGTACTTTAACCGGAACACATTTACTCCTACTTACTCTCAAACTACTTAATTTTCTTAATATTTACTTGGTAGGTGGGTTTAGATACCTAATGGATTTGGCAAATTAAATTAGATGCATTCAAACAAAATTTATTGGTTGCATGTTTACAAAAATTGTAACAAATTCTTTGTTTAGCGAGTAACTTTTCACAAAACATATTCAATTATAGATAGGTAGCTCCTTAGTTTCCATTAATCTCTACAGAAGGTCTTCCAGCCCGAAAACTCCATAAGCGAAATTTCTTCCAACACATCAATCATTTTAAATTTAACTTATTAATTTGTCGTTGGCATTGAAATACTTCAATATCCCACTTTAATTTTTTCAAATTTATGAGTAACTTCTCAAGCCTCTTCTTTTGTGATATATACACTGGCGATACCTTTGCTTTTCTCGCAACTGATTCAGTGGTTTTTGTCATCTTGCTGTCTATCAATTACGTCTAACAACCGACCACTTTATATTCCCCCAAGTAGTTAACCACGCCCTCTTAAGACATCCCCTCCCTCTGGTAAATCGCTGACCTCAAAGTGACTACCAGAGGCTCCATTAAGGTCGTTACCCTTTGAGAGCTCTAGTTTTCAAAATCGCCGCCAGAGGAAGATGACCTTCAGGAGATTTGAAAATCGTCTTATGGGATTTTACATGGAGTTGAGTTAGTATCGGCTATATATGGCTACT